CCAACACGGGTCGATGGCGTAGTTGGTTATCGCATCTGTCTCACACACAGGAGGTCCTCAGTTCGAACCTGGGTCGACTCATAGTCCTTTTTCAACGCGTATCTCTGTCAGGATTTGTTCCGGTTGAAACTAAGTTTTCACGGTACCAATGTATTGAAACTGATCAGTTGCGACTAATGGGTCACGTGGGACAACCTGAAGAGGGGGCTGGGGAGTGGATCAGTTCCAGTACGGAACTTCCACCTCTAGCAGCCAACCTCTAGGTAAAAGATATTGCCAAAGTGCCTGAGAGAAACCCACACTGACGGAATACCTGGTAGATTTAGTCGCAATGTTTTCTACTCTGAGTGTATACTACCTCGTCTACTATTGGGACTATCGTCATAGGACAAGTCCTCAAGATCTACCTGGTATCCCATGAGCAGTCATGGAGGAGTCTTATCCCTCAGCAGACCTGAAACGCCTGGTCAATCCTCCACACAGTCCACTACCCAGTCCACCAACGCTGTTGAACCGGCTGGGGATGGCAGGCCCGGAGAAGAGAGAGTACTGGGGACGAACTTGCCCCCTATTACTCCGTCTGGAACCGAAAGATTCATCATACAGCAACTTGAAGACTCCGTTGAAGAATTCAGACAAGGGAGGAAATCAAAACCTCTTACTATCACAGTGATTGTCAACGCTACGAACACATCCAGCATACCAGCCCAAGCGAGACAAGACAACATCAACAGCTATCTTGCGCTCCTTGACAACATTGAAAAGAAAGCAAAATCCAGACAGCGCAGAGCAAGACGATGTGAAACATCCCAAGCTGACGGACAGTCAAACCACACTGACAAATATTTTAGAGGTGGTGATGGCAGGCCCCCCAATCGATGAGATAGAGACGGAAGCCCAGAGCCACAGCATGCAAGCACTGGAGGAGCAGGCATCAATTGCAGACTGCCTCACCAAAGGGCTACCACACTTGAGACGACTGCACAGGCAGACGACTGGCATGCTGACCGAGCCAAGCCAGGCCCCTTTAAGTCTGGTAGTCCGTCCTCTCCAGATGCCTCCTCAGGAGACAATTCCTCCACTGACTCTTCTAGCGAGGATGAGAAGCCCAGAGTCAAGCATCACCACATCAATGAACGCAAAATGCCATGGTATGCACAGAAGAAGCTTGCTTGAGAGAATGGAGACCCCAGATACTCAGCCAATCAGAAACTCCTACAGCGATACATGCAGAACCCTGGTAAAGTCAAGCGCCAAATCCTTACCTCACGCACAGCACCCCCCGACTTCCCCAGTTCAGAATGGGACAAACTCCTCAGAGGAGAACCTGCATGTTTCAACACCATATATAGCTCTGTCAGACATCTTGGAGCTCCTAGAGAGAATAGAGGGCATCTCGGAGGTTGTGAGCTCATCCTTGGCTACAGCAGTCCGCTTAGGAAAGTCGAGAGCAGCGGACAATGGCTTGTTGCAGCAAATATCTACGCAAAGGCTCTCAGGTTCGTGTTTCCAGGCCAGAATGATGAATTCCAATCTCATGTCAGCCGAATCCTCAACCTTTTCACTGTCAAGCACAAGTCCGCCCATGGTAAAGTCATTGCATATGACAAAGCAGTCAGGTCCAGGATTGGGGGAGGAACAAGATTACTACTCACCAATGAGCATGAATTTGCAGACTTGCACAATTCCACACTTAGCGTTGATGGCATCAACTATGGCAGCAAAAATGCCCCAAACCCAGGGTCAGCCAGACCAGGCAAAGTGTCAGGACAAAAATCAACAGTGTGCAAGCGCTGGAATACCCTCAAGGGGTGCCCGTTTGACACTAACACCTGCTACTGGAGTCACGTCTGCAAGAACTGCAAAGACAGTCACCCAAAGCACGAATGCTCTGAAAACAGCAAAGTTTGAGGCCATCAAAGATGAGAGGCCCAAGTATTTGAGATATAACTACTACGACTGCACAACTTACCCTACCCTGACTACTGCGGACTGGTCAGAGACAGCAAAACCACTCCCCAAAGTACTAGCATGCGAACTAGCAAACCACCGATCTATTCAAACCTTAACCAAGCACCCAGACTTATTCAAAATCATCACTCCAATAAACATTGATCGTTTTGCGCAGCTCCTCAAATCCCACCCAAACCGGGTTTTTGTCAACTTGGTCATTTACAGCCTCCACAATGGTTTTTGGCCCTTCGCCAACACCCACCCAGACAAACATCCTCCCATCTGCGACATGTCCACCAGCCCTCCTGGAAACCCTGCAGAGGCAGATTTCCTAAGGAAACAAAGAGACATTGAAATTGCAAAGAAACGTTTCTTGCTATCTTTTGGGAAAGACCTGTTCGAATCAATGACCAGCTCACCAGGTTACGCAGTCCCCAAACCTCACTCAGACGACTTCCGACTGGTTATGGACTTAACAGCAGGAGAGTTTTTACTGAACTCAATGATACCTTATGAGGACATCGCAGGTTTTCCTCTTGATGGCATGAAACATCTTGGCAAGTACCTCCTATGCATATGGGAATACTCTGATAGACCGCTGACCCTATGGAAGTCAGACGTCGCAGAGGCCTACAGGCTAATCCCAATGCACAGGCACTGGCAGCTGAAACAGATTGTCACAATTGATGGCAAACACCATGTTAATCGATGCAACTGCTTTGGGGGCAGAGCCTCACTCAATTGCTGGGGGTCAGTGAACTGCCTCATCACTTGGATTGCAAAGAACGTCCACAATGTGACCTCACCCTTTGTCTTCAACGATGATTTGTTTGGTGTCGAAAGTGAAGGAGATATGGTTCGCTATGAACCTTACAACTGCCTCATGCCCAGGAGTCAGGCCCTTCTTCTGACACTGTGGGATGAGCTCGGCATTCTCCACAAACAGAAAAAACAGCTGTTTGGCTCCCCTTTAGTGATCATAGAGATCCTGGTCGACCCAAATGCGATGACAATGACCCTCCCAGAGGAAGCAAAGCACTCATTAGTTGCAGAGCTCAGATGCTTCATGGTCTCACCACAGGGTAAATTAAAATATTTCACAAAGCAAGCCTGGCAACGGCTAGCTGGTTGGTTCAACTGGGGTTTGAATGTTTTTCCTCTCCTGGCCCCAGCATTGTCAAATGTGTACTCAAAGATAAACTCAGTAGGGGACTTTCCCCACGCAAGAATCTGGTCAAATACAGCGATCAGGGCCAACCTGAACTGGGCGGCCGATCACATCGAGCAAGCAACAGGGACACACCTGCTCAAATCGACAATGTGGGATGAGGCAGAGGCAGACGTCATCGTAGAGTCTGACACCTGCCTCACAGGCATGGGCTATTGGTTGCCACATATACGCCGTGCGTTCTACTACCCGATTCCACAGGAATGGCCTAAGGACCGGATATTTTACTTTGAAGCCCTGGCTGTAACTTCTGCGTTTGCATCTGTCACCGCTGATGCTGGATATCCGCTCAAAGTCATAATCTACACAGACAATACCAACACAGTCAACATCTTTAACAGCTTGCATGCTCTCCCACTGTACAACAACTTGCTTAAGTTTGCCATGGACATCATGATTGCTGGTAGACACCAACCAAAGGTCAGGCACATCCCAGGTGAAGAGAACAAGGTCGCTGATCTGGTCTCCTGTGGACTATTTGACAATGTGCATCACCTGTTTCCCTCGCTAAGCGTCAAACCCTTTCAACCCCCTCAACAAGTGCTGGGGGCACCTAAAAAATGACCACCCACATGCTAAGGCCCAGGCAATCGGTAAGGCTCGCCTGGACCCATGAGAGATTAGTTAAGGAACGGTCTCTCGCCTTGGGAGCTTCGATAGACACAAGCACCTTCCACTCTTACAGTTCTGCCCTCAACTCGTACCTGAATTTCATCAACTTGCATCACATGGACGCACGCCCAACCAAAGACTCAATCTCATTTTTCATTGTGTACATGTGCAACCACATTGAGCCAAGATCTGTCAGGACATATCTTTCTGGGATATGCAACCAGCTCGAATCCTTTTTCCCTGACATCCGCACTATCAGAAAGTCCAAACTAGTTAAAGACACCTTGAAGGGGTGCATGAAACTAAACTCCTCAAACCAAAGTCAGAAATCACCCCTCACTCACGACCACCTGTGCACTGTTATTACTCACTATGCCACATCAACAGACCACGACGACAGACTTTTCGTAGCGCAAATCACAACAGGTTTCTATGGCTTACTGCGGCTTAGAGAGCTGATGCAACCAGATGATGAGAGACTGAGGGACAGCCGTAAAGTCATCACAATCCTCTCCCTCAAAATATGGGACACAGCCTTTGAATTCCAACTCCCGATGCACAAGGCCAACGCGTTTTTCAAAAGCAACAAAATAATAATCAACAAAATGGTGCACGGTTCGGACGCTTACTCACAGATGGTGTCCTACCTTCAGAGCAGAGCCAAACTGTTCCCCTTCAGGAGGGAACTCTGGCTGAGACGCGACGGCACCCACCCAACCAGAACTTTCTTCATCAGCAGGCTCCAAAGTTTTTTCCCCAACCAAGCCGCAGAACAATGGTCCTCGAAGGCGTTCCAGAGATACATAAGAAAAAACCCAATACTCATGCACGCCATGACCATACAAAGCGACGTGCAGAGAAGCCGCTTTTTGAGCACCTCCAATTCATTTTGCGCACTTGAGTAATCTCTGTTTCATTTGCATACGCCTCGTCCCTTTTTTCTTTCTTTTCTCTTTCTCGCCCACTCGGCAAGGCACACAGACCACTTCGCATATTACATCACCTGTTACCTGGTCGACCACTTTCGAATGGAACACCGAACCGCACGGACTGCACACCGAGGACTGCATGGACCTAGTTTCTTTTTCTTTTTCGTTACTGGACTGCACACCGAGGACTACATGGACCTAGTTTCTTTTTCTTTTTAGTTACTATTGACCCGTTACTTTTCCCTTTCTCATGCGCACCAGATACAATCCTAGAGTCCTGTCGCCACTATTTCCCCTCTCCTTATTTCTCCGCCTTCTGCACAGCATGGACTACATGGACATTGACTTTTTTCTCTACC